TCTGCCTCCTCACTGCATCCTTTTTCTCTGCTGTGCGGGAAACTTTTACAGTCAGTTTGTGGAAGAAGATGTAATAATTAACAGGAAGAAACTTAAACCTTGCCCTGAGAGGAAGAAGAGGGGTTTTAACAACCCCTGGCTGTGATGCAGAAGGAATGCAGTAACAGGCAACAATGCCTGCTCCTCTCTCTCTCCCTACATAGCAGGGACATTAAATTTTAAGTAGTAAAACCTCAGGGGTAAGTGAGAAGCTGTGAGAAGAGTTATGAGCAAGGATCTCATAAATAAACCTGACCTATCATAATCCCACACAGTCTCCCTGCCTGAATTTGCATCAAAGTTGCCAAAAGCCACAGAAAGATGGGAAATCAGCCTGTCCTCATAACTGCAGGCACTGGTTTCCCGAAAAGGTTCTTGGAAAGCAATTAGTGAGGCTGGATTTCTAGTCAAGGATGAGCGAGTCCCATAATAGAAAGCAACACCGTAAGGGAGCAAGACCAAAGGATCCATCTTGCTCAGCATCCTCTCCAAGAGTGAAAATTGGTAGAATACTCCAGGAAAACGTAAGACCCATAGGCCAAGGAGATTCTTCCCCTACATCCCTGCTCAGCTTTTGGCAGTGACCCCTTGAAGGAAGACCTGAGCCAGCAGCTGCACCCAAATCACCTGTTTCAAAGCAGCTGAGGGATTTATGACCTCTGAGGTTGCCCGGTCTCTTTTGGACCCATTTAGTTCCTGCCTTAAGGGAGTTTGAAGCATGCACTGAATTGCATGGTTCAGTTGTGCTTCGTGTCTCTACTGGTGTGAAACCTGTTGGTGGCTGTGGCCAGGCACATAGGCTGGCACCTTGCTGGGATGGGCACCCAGGTGGTTATCAACCAGGAGTGTCTGCCGCTCACTAGGACAGGTGCCAAGCTCCCAGACTTGGTCAGGACTAAGAAAACAGAGATATCTTACCTCCTGGAGTAGCGATCAGCAGTTGAAGATGCTGAGGGGTGGAGTGGAGCTACTCCAGGACATAAGGCAAGGCAGAGAGGCAAACATACAGGCTCTTGGGGCAGCAAGGCTGGCTGGCTCCTGGGGACCACCGTGTGCTGCTGGGAAATGTGGCAGCCTCAGGTGCCCACGAATCTTTTGCCTCTGACACGACAGAAAACTTGACGGGTGCCTCACTCCCACAGGTTTTGTTGAAAAAACCTTGCCCCAGACTGCTAAAGCCCAAACACCAGTGCTGTACATACAGATAGTTCCCTTGCCCTCTGCTCTTGTGCTGAGGATGGGGTAGTGGCTATTGAAATACTCCTCAAAAAACTGTTGTCATACTGAAGGCTGATGATTTTTTAATCATAGAATCACAGAATGGTTTGGGTTGGAAGGGACCTTAAGATCACCTAGTTCCAACCCCCCTGCCATGGGCAGGGACACGTCGCACCAGACCAAGTTGCTCGAAGCCCCATCCAACCTGGCCTTGAACGCTGCCAGGGATGAAGCATTTACCACTTCTTTGAGCAACATGTTCCAGTGCTTCACCACCCTCACAGTAAGGAACTTCCTCCTTATATCTAACCTGAGCTTCCCCTGTTTAAGTTTGAACCCATTACCCCTTGTCCTATTGCTACAGCTTGTGATGAAGAGACCCTCTCTGGCATCCTTAGCCTTGGCTATGTGCAGCTGTTAGTCTTCATTAGCTGCTCCAGGAGTTATGTTACATCTTGTGTGGGTATTTTATAGCCTGGAGAGCGTGTCTGGCAGGGATATTGGTAACACAGGACATGTTATTTTCAAATGCAGGGTAGGTACCTCTCTCCTCTGGCTCTGCATCCTGAAGATGGCAGCACCCAAGGTCGCAGTGGTTGGGGCGGGAGTCATTGGCCTGTCTACAGCACTGTGCATCATGGAAACTTGTCCCAGCTGCTCCGTGACGATCCTTTCAGAGCAGTTCAGCCCCAACACAACGAGTGATGTTGCAGCTGGGATGCTCATCCCTCACACCTACCCAGGTACTTGCAACCCAGCATAGTGCTGCTTATGGCACCTCATGTGGCTGCATGTCCGCATGTGCAGAGATGCACAGAGGTTCAGGAAGAAAAGTCCCATGACCTGTGTTCCCCGTCTGTCCCATCTCATCAACACTGGATTGTATGCTTATGTTCTTTGCATTATTCCTGTCTGCATGTTTGATTTTGTTTACTTGCAGGCACACCGATCCACGTGCAGAAGCAGTGGTTCAAAGAGACCTTCACTTACCTTTTTGCCATCAGCAACTCAGCTGAAGCATCAGAGGCTGGCATTCACCTGGTCTCCGGGTGAGAACAACCCCCTGGGGCAGCCTTTAGTATGTCTGTGCTGTGTGCGGGAGCAGAGAGGTTTTCCTAGCCAGATTTCAGGTGTATTCCCTTCATAGAGTAGCTCTTACGACCATATTCCCAAGAAACTGAATTGCAGATGTTTGATATGCTGTATTTTGAAGCAAAATTAATTCATAGGTGCACACAAAGAAACCACTCAAGACTGGCCAGCACCAAATGTCTTTTAATAACTGATGTTTTCTGTACTGTCAACCACCAGTTGCTTGCAGCAGGGGTGGTCTCCATAGGGGTGGGACTGCAGGATCTTCCAGCTTCAGCAACTAGGTATAGGGATGCAATCGCAGGGGATGTGTTGGGGTTTCTTTATGATGCCTATTATGTACAGAAATTCACCTCTTGGGAGTGTTGAGGCTCGTCCCTTTGTAGTTTTACAGGTACCCCAAAACCTATAACCGGGCGTGCAAGTGGCCCTACATGCAGGTCCAGCCATGGTGGCTGCAGCCATGGTGGGGACACTGCAAGGGGACTTTGTACTTCTAGAGCTGGAAGTACATGCAGTGTAGCTGGAAGAATTCTCTCCGGTTCATTTACCGTGGTGTGCCACCCTCAAGCTCGGCTGTGGCAGCCCTCTGTCTGTTTGTCAAGGCAGGTATTGCAGTAGCAGGCAGCCATGTTCCCTGTTGCTGTTAACCTTACTGAGCTACACTGATCAGTGGGGAACAGGTTCCTGAATTCCTGGGTTTGTGCAGAGCAATAGCACTAGGTTTTTCAGCTTTTTCTCTGTGTCCTTTTAGGTGGCAGGTCTTTAAAAACACTCCCAAGGAAGAGTTACCTTTCTGGTCGGATGTTGTCCTGGGATTTCGACCGATGTCCAAAGCAGAACTCCAGAAGTTTCCGCAGCATCAATTTGGTCAGGCCTTTGCGACACTGAAATGTGACTGTCCACCCTACCTGCTGTGGCTGGAGAAAAGGTTGGTTTTGCTGCAGGGTGGGCATATGGAGAGAAACCCAGGCAGAAGGACTGGGCGCAAGCTGGGGATTCCTTGAGAGCCTTAGGTTTGAGGAAAACTGGCAAAGGGCTGTTTCTCACTGGGGAAAATGCAGCATGTTCTTCCTTGGGGAGAAGCACAAGAAATGAATAACCAATTTTTTCAAAATGTGAAAGGCCTCAGTTATGCCATGTCCACTTTCTACCACTGTGGCTGTATGGTTGGGCTTGGAGCAGGAGTGCCTCTGGGCATAGGACTGGTACAACCACAGGGCCACACTTGGCCTGCCAGACCTTGAAGGTACATTGGGAACCTGCCATATCCTAAGAACACCTCTGGGTGCTCCTCATCTGTCAAATTTCCCAAATAATACCCCTCTGTTCTTGAAGATACATTCAACCTCAGGGAAAACAGGCATGTCTAGGAAGATGTCTTATCTGTGAATACTGAACTTTAGAAATAAGATGGACCAATTAAGCTCAAATTTGGTCAACATTTGGGCTAATTTCTTAATCCAGTCAGGTGAAAAATGGTCAAATAGCATCATCTTGTAGCATACCTTTTGGAAATGTTTGCCTATATAAGATGGATGATGCACTCACTTCGAAGAGTCATGGCTTCAGAGTTCATGTCTGGATTGACATGAACATTAGAAAATTTGCCAATTTCCAAGTTTCCTCAAAATACGTGGTTTTGGACAGCCCTGGGTAAGTCAGGATGCAGATCTAAAAATGTTCTGACACCCAGCATGTGCATTTAACCCACTTAAGTACCTGTAAAGTGAGCAAATAGCTGTCTCCTCTTGAGAGAAAGCGAAAGGCTGCAAGCTGATTTGAGGTTAAGTGAAGAGATGTGTACTGACACCATGGTACCAATTGCCAGCTCAGCTGCCTTCTTGCACGCCTTTCATCTCACTGCAAAATGTGAAAAACTGTGTCTTGTTCTAGCAGCCAGCCAGGCTGGGAGTACTTCAGTGCCACCAGTGCCACGTGAGGTCCATGCCATCTCCTTGGTGCAAATGCTCTGTCATGTTTCATTACCTAACCAAGTCAGAAATTTCTGCTGAAGCACAGCTAAGTTGTACAACCCATTTAGTATCATCTGTCACGTGATTTCTGCTCTCTCCTTATTTCTGCTATAGCCAACTTAATTCTCAAAGGATGTAGTCTAATAAGATGATCAAGCTCCTTTTCTTTCTCTTCCCCCTGGTGATGAGAAGTGAGAGCATATTAAACATGTAACTAATTCTCAAACCCCTAGTGACACAAGCAGTATTTATAGACCGTTCTCTTGGCAAGCCACAAGGAAAATTGTCTCTGTGCCCACCTTGCTGGTCCAAAAAAGGGCTTCAGGAATTTTTTCCTGCTTGCCTGCCTGAATGTAGGAGTTTTCAGCAGTTTTTTTATTGGTATACTTTTATGTCATGATGTCCAATTACATAGTCCCAATTACAACACTTATGAGCTCTCCCAGCAAGTTGCCCAGCCAGAGCTGCTGCATGAGACCTCCCCTGTTCTTCCCAGCCAGCTTCAGTGTCCTGCCAAACCAAACCCCCAGAGTACCAGCTGTGCCCTAGATCCTTGGCTCACTCACTGCTTTTAGGGAAACCCTGGAGTTTATAGTGGGGTCAATCACTTTGCCAGCTGACAGACTATTGCAAAGGACAGGATCTTCCACTTGGTGCGTTGTCATATTTGCTCATGCTAAAACCCCCACTAAAGACCCCCAGCAACTGGATCCAGCTAGCAGGATGCAGGGCTCTATCTCACACCAATGTTTTTCCATAGGGAAGGACTTCAGGCTTAGGGTGGAATTTGGCTTGAACGTGAGGACCTGACTGTCTGCCTAGGGTCTTGTGCCAGACCCTTGTCTAATATTGATCAACTTGATGTATCTTTTCCAGCCCAAGTATGCTAAAAAATATAGCTTTGATGAGATCAAATCAGACAAATCACATACAGAAACCCCATGGCATTTTCTTCACTTTTTGGCCAATCTGTTTGGTTTTGATCACTATGTTAAAGGCAATTTACTGAATGTGCATAATAATTACATGAGGGTTTAGGGGTTTCTTTTCTGCCTCACTTCTGCAGTCTTTTGCAGGTTGAAAGCAACTGGCGTCCAGATGTACACCAGAAAAGTTGCAGACTTGTGGGAGCTGCACAGCGAATATGACATCGTCGTCAACTGCACGGGCATTGGAGCCCACCAGCTGGTAGGGGACAAGAAGCTCTTTCCCATCAGAGGACAAGTACTCAAGGTTCATGCTCCTTGGGTGAAAAACTTCATCCGCGATGGGGATGGCTTAACTTACATCTACCCAGGGATACACAGGATAACCCTAGGGGGAACCAGGGAAAAGGAGAACTGGAGTCTCTCCCCTGACCCTGGCACTTCCAAAGACATCTTTGACAGGTGCTGCTCTCTTGAGCCCTCACTGGGGGGAGCTCAGGATATTCAGGTGAAGGTGGGCCTGAGGCCATCCAGGCAGTGTGTGAGACTGCAGAGAGAAGTCTTGAGTCAAGGAGGAGTTAAGCTTCCGGTGGTCCACAACTATGGGCATGGGGCAGGTGGCTTTTCAGTGCACAGGGGCACAGCCAAGGAAGCTGCTTGCCTTGTGGGAGAGTGCATTGCTGCCCTGCAAGACTCCTCATCAAGGGCCAAGCTTTGAATTGCAGAGGCTCCCTTTCCATTTACAACAGGCTAGTGTGGCATCTCCTAGTAGCAGCTTTGGACTTTTATTCCATTACTGGATAGAAGGAACCTAAGACAACGGCTTGTGCCATTGCAGAGACTGAGTGGTATCTCACCTGGCTTCCAGCTGCCGCTTTGGAAAGGCATGATGGGTTGATCCAAACATTTGTTCAGTACTGGCTCCTCCTCCATTTGGCATTGTTTCTGCCCTGGGCATTTCTCCTAGCCTCATGTCAAAGAGAAGGCAGGATATTTAAATATTCTTCACATAATGGGGGTCACATTGCTGCAGTATTTAGCATTCTTCATGTGCAGCTAGAGGGTATCGGATGCACTAGCTTCTCATTCAGTAAAAGCTAGTTGTTTCCTCTTGTGCCAAATCTAATCTAGTATTGCCTTTGCTCCTGCCATCTTAGTAAAACTTTACAATTTTCCATATGATTTACAAGGAAAAGAAGTCTCCTGCAGTGCTGCATTCCAGTGCTCAAGGTCAGCTCTTACAGAAAGCAATTTTAGTGCACAGTGACCAGGCAAGTGTGATTTCAAGAGCAGGTATGTGACACTGATCACTGCGTTTGCTCATATTACACCTCAGGGAGCTTAACACAAAGGTTTTGAGAGAAGAAATTGCCCATATGAGCCACGGGGTTGCAACTCTTTTCTCACACCTGTTTGCAAATCACTTTTTTTTTTCTCTCCAAGCCCCTCAGATTTTGCTCTCAGACACACATGATTTTTTCCCCTCAAGAGCAACATGACACGGCCTGTGTTCTACAGAGAGGATTTATCATGGTGGTCTTGAGAGTGCGAGCATCTCTCTTCTACTTTGCATCAGCACTGGCTGCTTTCCTTGCAACAGCTGGTATGAGTGAATCCGAGGCAAACCAATAAGGATCTTAACACCAGCTTCAGAGGCCACCAGAACCCAGACACTCACTCCATGGCAGAGGCTGAGTGGGCCTCCCAGCAATCCCCCAAGCCTTTGACGTAGCTGAAGGTAGTCACTCCTAAAATCAGAGCTTACTGTCGAAGTATAGCTCTGACTGTTAGTGATTAAACCACTCCTTAGCTCTTAAATGGCTTATTCAAAAGGATTAGCAACTTTTATCTAGGTTTGGTTTTTTTTTGATTTTATAGTTACAAACCAAATCAAAATCCTTCAAGACTTCGCATTATTAAAATGAAGTGATAAATAAAGTTCTAATAATAGAGCAAAGATTGCTTCTCTACTGTTTCCTTTCATAAACAAAGGGTTTTCTTTCATGTGTGATGACCTGACAGGGCCAAGAAAGGCCACACTCAGACATGGCTGCCAACTCCTGCTGTTCTTGGTGGGGGATGAGGACAGTTTCCTTCAGAAGGGACAGCTGTCAGAAGGAACGTCACCAAATTAACTTCAAGGTCAATAAACACCTAGGATCAGCCTAAACCAGCCCTCTTCAGCAGCCTTGCCCTCTTCTCCTCATTTCTGAAGGCTAATTTTGCATTCTCCCCATCCATCATTTGTCCTTTCAGCAGTAGAAAAGGGCAGAGCTGCTGCTTTTGGCAGCAGTATTGGCATAGGGATTGTCAAACTGCAGCTTTGTCCTCAGCTAACATGGAACGTAAAAATACATGGGAAAATGTATGAGACCATCTGAGGACCCTGAGGGTGCACAAGTCCATGGGAACTGACGAGATGCAGTTGCAGGTCCCGAAGGAACTGGTGGGTGAAGTGGCTAAGCCACTATCCATCATATTTGAGGAGTCATGGCAGTCCAGTGACGTTCCCACTGACTGGAAAAAAGGGAAAAGTTGGGGTTGTTTAGACTGGAGAAGGCTCTAGGGAGATGATTTTTGCAGCTCCTTGCAGGCTGTTTATATTTTACTACCTTGAACAAGCTGGTACCACGAGCAGACTGAGTCACTTCACCATTTACTGCCTGATGGCTATGTGGATTAGCCCACCAATCCCTATAGGATGTCACTGATGACTCCTCTCCACTGTAAAAAACAGATGATTTATGGTTACCTTGTCTCTCTATCCTACATGCAGTTGCTGACTCACGAGAGGAGCCTTGCCAGATTAGCTTCTTTATGAAACCTTGGTGACAGATGTTACTAAGGGCTTTTCAGAACCTGAGCAAATCATACTGAGTGGTTGCTCTAGTCTGCAGCTTCACTGTTTCCTCTGAAGCCGTAAGAGGGTTGTGAAGCACAGCTTCATAGCTCCTCACTGCAAAGCTCTGCCAATTTCTCTTTTAATCTGTATCTCTCCTTGCAACTATTCTATTACCACGGCTTTTACCGTTTGCCTGCTACTGGTATTAGATCTAGTGGTTTGCATTTCTCCAGATCCCTCACAGCACTTAAACCAAAACAATGTTAAGTGCCATACTCTTCTTCTTTCCAGCTGTTTCAGAAAAAAATTTATACACCAGCCCTAATAGTGCAACAATTTTCCATTAGCATTCCTTCAAACCCCACAAGTAACACCTGCTTCTATGAATTTGCTACTATCCCTTGCATCTATTTGTTCTAAGACCTCATCTAATGGCCCTTCAATCTGAGGCAGCTTCTCTGCATTATCCCCTTAACAAATGGCTCTGCCATGGGAATTTCACTAAACTTTTCTATACTGAATGCAGACACGAATAATCTGTTTAGCTGTTGTGTTAGGGCTCGTTTTCTCTCAGATTTCTTTGCTGCTCTGACCATCTGCTGACTGCATATTTTGGTCACCTGCAGAACCTTCCACCAAGCTCCCTGCTCCTGCTGGGGTAGAGGAAGCTTTTTGTGTATTAGCAAGTTATTTCCTCAAGATCTTTTTTAGCCTGCCTTTCTGTTTCTGCTTTTAATTTGACAGAGTTCATGTCCTTTTTCCTCATTTGGAAGGGATCTATTTTGGTTCTTTGCCATGTAATTTTTATTATGCTTTTACAATGAACCAGTAATTATCTTTCTGGAATGTTTCTGATATTTCAATATCCATATATAAAAATCAAGCATTTACACTCATATCTTACTTTCAGACTTACAGCAAATAGAAACAAGTGTACATTCAGCCTGTTCGCTCCAGCTCCTGTGCCCTGTTAAAAGGGGATTTATTTGTCCAGATTGCACCTTGCCATTTCCTGCTTACTTGTGGTTATAAAAAGAGGTCGAAACGGCACCATTAAGGATATGCCATCATGAACTCCTGCTCCTCTCTGCCTGCTCACTTTCCCCATCTCCAGCATGAAATTCCTTTTAAATCTTATTCTTGGTATTCAACACAAGGGTTGAACATCCTACTCAGAAGTCTCTGCTTTTTGTTCCAGGAGATTTCAATTTGCCAAGAATACGTCCTAGTATTTTGGGAATAATAGCATATCCCTCCCTCATTTTTCTCCCTAGGCATGGTAAATTTAAATATTCTAAAATATATCCATAGATATATAGTGATGCTGCCCTTCACCAACTATACACCTACCCACAAAGGTGAGTCATGCTCTTTCTGTGCCTGCAAGTCAGCTCACTGACACTGACTGCTTGGCTTTTAGGCAGCTGAAGTTGTTGAGATGAGTCCTTTCTTGCTTCAGCTGCCCAGCCTCGGGTGTCAGTCTCTGGCAGTATCTTATCAGCCATCCCTGAGTTTCTGTTCCTCACCCAAGACCTTTGCCAGGAACTGAAGCAAAGATTAACTCTCCAGCTCCAGCTGAAGCTGAGCCAGCAGCTGAGCAACTTGCAAAACTCCATTTTGATCTTAAATCTGTCTATGCTGTTGCATTGGCTCTCCAGTCTTCATCTAGAAACACAGAGCAAGTGTCAGGGAAACACTCTCATGTAGGAGAGGATTAACAGTGGAAGACCATTAAACCTCCCTGACTTCCTATGATGATGAAAAGCACTGTAAAGAAAAAAAGACTCAGCTGTCACCTGTGCAAAGCATTTTATCCTTGTGCTGTTCCTTAAGCCCATACATGTCTGGACAAAAGTTACCTGGACCATACTTAAATATTTCCTTCTTATGCGCACTTTCTGATCTGCATTGAATAGGCACCCCTGGCAGATGGCAACCGATCTGTCACGCTCACGGGGAACTTCAAGGATGTAATTATGGCATAGAAAGAGAACGGTTATATTTTGAGACATTTCTATCAATCCTTGCAATTGCAGACAGCAGATGGGCTGTATGATGGATTTTAGAGATGGAGCACAAGATAATAGTGTTCTGCAACAGGGGATTTTGTTGATCTTCTTTGCAGAAACAACGCCATAGACATATTGTCTAGATATATGGGTTTTGCCTATATTTAAAACAAATCTGCTTCATTTCTGAAAAACACACCAAAAATTGGCATTCACCATTCATTACAATTCTTTTCCAGTCTAATGCCATTTGAGATAAACTTCAGTGAGATACATTCAAATTCATTAAGAATAAGTGTAATAATCAGAGAGAAGATCATCGCCTGGACCGAGATCTGTACTGTTTTCACAGCTATTAAATAATCGTGTGTATTTTACGATGCTTTATTTTATTCTGCTCTACTCCTTCTTATCCACAAGAGGGAGATGTTGGATCAAGCAGTTGCTGAAATCCGCACACTCCGTCTCGAACTGCAGTGATGCTGAACGCAGTGGAAACGTGGGTGCCTGACGGGGTCCCACACACCTATAAGGCTTGGAGGACTTGGGTGCTGCAGTAGATCTTAAGAAATAATCGTGAACCCATTAGGTCTGTAACATGTCATGGGGAGAGATTAAAAAAATGTATATTGAGGAAACAGAAATATGAAGGTAGCAGCATACTAGAAGCTGTTGTTAATAAAAAACATAGAACCACAGAACGGTTTGGGTTGGAAGGCACCTTAAAGATCATCTAGTTCCAACATCCCACCATGGGCAGGGACACCTTCCACAAGACCAGATTGCTCAAAGCTCCGTCCAACCTGGCCTTGAACAATTCCAGGGACGGGGCAGCAACAGCTTCTCTGGGCAACCTGTGCCAGTGCC